TTGATGCATAGCAGGACATGGCCTTCAGCAAGGAACAGTGCTGCTGGAAAAATACGCATTTGCCTAAGTGGTGGAGTACAATTTATATGTACATTTTTTCTGGACATTTCCAAGGCAGCAGCTGCTCATCCTGAGATATTTCTAGTCTGTCACAGCAGGCTTCAGCAGTCCCAGAGAAGTATGAGCTACCTGTGCTCTTGTTCAAGACTATAAGCCTACAAGGTCAACCCTCAAAAACATAGCTGAAGAGGAATTTTCCATCAGCATTACATTCTCCTCCTTTTAGCTAAAAGAATCACTTGCCACATGACTGCAGATGTTTCAGAACTTTTAGTGGAAAAATGGCTCTTTCCTCCATGACTCTCCACATGTCAGCAACCTGTCTAGTTTGCTGATAGGGAGTTGTGCCCTCTAGGATCCTCTTCTTTCAATAACATATAAGTGTGAAAAGCTCTGGCTTTCAAGCTCCCAGACTCACTGCAATGGAAGGGGATTTCAGAAACACCTCAAATCTTTCAAAATGAAATGTCACTCGGTCTTTTTCAAACCAAAGTTAAAATAATAACAATAATAATACAGCTAAGTTTCTTCTCTCCTATTTTGGAACAGCACATTATTTGACATCTCAGAATTTCCAAACGGGAATTGTGTCTTGGACTAACATTTTTTTAATGCATGAAAGGCCCTGTGCAGCACCCCGATTTCAAGAAAAGAAATTGAATTGAGAGGGACTGTTCAAAGAAGCAAGTATTTGTCAGCATAAGCAGATGTTATACACTCATCTCCCTATGAAATTGGTTACACATTGTAAGATGCAGATGAATATATGAATTTTTATTACAGATGAGGTGTGTTATGTGTGAAAGTGACTTCAGGCCAGTTTTTTAACTGATGAAACAAGGTCAGACACTGAAAGATATTTAGGCAGTAAAAGAAGCAGATAAATTTGTCACAAGACTTTCAAAAGGTATCTAGCATTAAATTAATTTGGATTTACATGCGAGAAGTTTTTCTAAATGTTATTAGGTGCTTTTCTGCACCTTTAGTGGCTATTTTTTTTTTTCAAACTCTGGCTCTTTAACATCAATACACTGCATACAACCAGAAATCTGAGAAACAGATATAAAAGATTTGCTTCCCAGAACACTAATAAGCAACTGTGAATATAATTAAGAATATTTATAAAAAGGGAATTTGGTTCACACCTTGCTTGCCTCCAACTCTTTTTGTATGATGTGTTATATAGCTGTCACCCTTTAAAATGCTGCAGGGCATTTACTTTAATGTAAATGTGTATTTTTCTATCAAATTTCTATACTATACTGAAAACATGGCAGCTACACTTGAATATAGCGGAGCTATTTATTATTTGTGTTGATGTGGTAGAGGACGCTACTTGCTTGGAGCATAATTGCTATGATTCTCAGGTGTGACATCCCTCCCCGAAGGTTTTCCACCAGAAGAGCAAAACAGCTAATTCCCACAAATATTCAGGTAGCAAAACTGCCTTCAGTCAACCTTCTTCTCTTACAAGGAAAACATGGACTTTGTAATGTATCTAGAAGTTTAATGAATTCCAGGACTGAATCTGTGACCATGGGATGTGCTTAGAGTAGATCCCCTTAGCTGCTATTCATTATCTGTAGTAAAAAAGAATAATTTTGTTTATCTCTGCTGATCTAAATTATCATACTGGATGGATGTGAGGAAAGAGGATGCTTCCCTGGTAACAGTATTTCAAATTTCATGTGGCTTGGGCAGTTTAAACTAAAACTTCTATCTGGCAGCTCCTTGATAAGCAATTGAGCTCCAGAAGCATTGGTGTGGAGATGCTATAAACTCATTTACTTGATTTGATCATTAATCTATCAACTGGAATTGGGTTTATCTTAGACATGAGAATATTACTGGGGTGACTAAGCAATATTATAGCAGAATTTTAAGAGAAAGCAAAAATTTCACTCTTCATAGCAATCTGGGTGAGGCACTGCCATGGTATTCTTTCTCATCTCTTTAATTATCAATACCTCTACAAAGGCGAACAGTTCTGATTGTTAGCCTGGATTTTGGGAGAGCTTTTTCACAGACTTTCTGTGTCACCTCAAGCAACTCAGCCTCTCAAAGTTTCAGATTCCCAGCTGCTAACTGGGAATTATAGTAATTTACTTCCTCATAAGAGTGTTGTGAAGGTCATCCATTACAGACTGTGCAGTATTCAGAAGCAATGGTCACAGCATACATAAATGCCTATGACACAACAACCATAAGGCAATGTGTATAAATTGTGTCACAAAATGAAGCTTCTGGAAAGTCAGTACTGTTGTGGAAGAAAGGACTCACAGCGGTGGTACACTATACACCAAGTTCAGAGTACAAAAAGAACAAAGGAAAGAAAAGCCATTCTCAAAGGTGATTTAATTCATTGAAGTTTAACTGTTATTTCACTTATTGCTCTTAAAAAGTTCCTAACTGTACTTAAAAAAAAAAAAAGACAAAAAAAAAAAGACACAAGTTCAAGTTATATGACCACACAACACATACAGACTGAGAATAGGTCCTTTCCTAGTATTGTGCTCCATAAGGCACTCCACAGGTCCATCTTTCAGATACAGGTTTTATGCACCTGTTTAAATGAAAACCACCATAAAGAATATCAGGGGAGGAGAGCAAAGGGTTCTTCAGGAACATCTCATCATCAGCCAGCATGCAAGAGAATGGTCCAGAAGAAATTATCTTGGGAAGGGCTTCCTTCCTCTGCCAAGTGTGTTCAGTGGTTGAAGGAGCCTTTGATCCACTGTCTCTGCTCCCCTCTCCACAATGGAAAAGCTGTGTGCAGGCTAGAAAGGGCTGTGTGATTATCTGGGTAGTTTTAGTTTTTTTGTTTGGCCCCATGTAATAATTGGTTCAACTTAAAAATTTTGCTTCCACTGAGTACTTACTGGGAGAAAAGGAGACTGTTTGTCTCCTGAATGTATAGCCCGTTCTGTAGCCTGCAGACTCACAGGCTTATATAGTAAAAAGATGGCTATGAGTTTCAGTCCCTGATCCAATAAATGTTTATGCACAACGGTCTGTAGCAGTGTCAGCATGAGATATTTTGATCAAGTCGCATACCTGGCTAAAAAATACTCTTGGAATCTGATTAATGTGCGTTTAAATCCTCTTAAGTAGAAGACATACATCTCACAAATCCCAGCTGAATACCTTAAGCATCAGCCTGAAGGGTGATTGGTACGTCTTCCATGATGGTTTTGTGAAGACTGTATAAAATTTTTCCTATTTGAAACTACTCATTATTGGCTTCAGAATGGTTTTTGGGGAAAACAAGAAAAAAAAAAAGCAAGATAAAATTTCTATTTATTCCTAAGTTAAGGTGCGGTTCCTATATTCCTTTGAGAGGAAAGACTGCAGATATTATAAGCCCCTCTTCAACCCACATAAATGTGTGTGTACATATGTTTGTTTCTCATGCATGTTCTCATCTGTGCTTTGGCATCACAATTTTTCCCACAAGATTTTAAGATTATTTTTCAATTACAGTCTTAGCAGTAGATTGAAGTAACTGGGGAATAAAGAATTCAGGTCCTCATCCCTACAGCTTGTATGTTTTGACATCTGCATAAGTGAATTAATTTTCAGAAGCATCCTCCACAGCTCTAATTGCCTCCAGCACCTTAAAAAAATTAGTATCCACAAAACGTTAAAAACCTGTGGACAAAAATATTGATTTCCACTCACATTAAACTTCCAGACTATCAGAAAATACTAGTAAGTGTATGGCAGATAATTTAGGAAGTCTGAAGGCTTTTCAACTGAAGATTTTATCTAAGGAATAAAATAATGAATGTAAACACATGAATTTTCAGAAGAATTAGTAACCCTAATAGTTGTGGGGGTTTTGTGTGTGAAGCAATGAGAGTTGCATAAATACAATCTACTGGCAGGAAGACACTACACTAATGGGATTTAAAACCCCATGATTAGTTTAAACAATTATTATGTACCAATTGAGTAAATCTCATTAACAAAATAGGAGGTTAAAGGAAAATGTAAGATTGTCCATCTGTGAAATAGAATCATGGTATTTACAATTGACTGCTATGCTGTGAGTAGTGACCAACAAATTGAAATTAAACAATAGAAGGCAGTGTGCTACCACAGGATAACAGTTCATAATAACAACCATTGCAAATTTGTATACCCCCTTAAATAAAACACTGTCAATACACTTTTAAGGCATATCACTGTGGTATGGCTGATAAATAACAGGTCGCATCCACTTACCTGTGTTTCTGCTTTTGCCTTCTGGCGGTAAAACCAGTTGACCGCATTCAGTTTGGGCCTAACAGACTTGAAAAGACGCTTTTCATTTAATGCCAAGTCTTAGGTTTAGACTTGCCAAAAGTAATCTGTTAGTCTTCCCAGACTTTGGGAAGTGGAATATTATTATATAATAACTCCCTCTGTACTGAATTCAGGTAGTATCTCTTGTTTTGTTTTAAATCAAAGTAATGAGTATATGTGACTGAGGTGGAGCTCTCCCATTCTTCACAATATCTAGTAAGTTCTAAGTCCTCTCATATACAATATGAAGCTTTTGCCTATCAGCTCCTAATCTCACTGAACCAGAGCACGGTCCTGGAGGAACTAAGCACCAACCTTACTTTGAACCCTATTAACTTGCTTTGCCACTTCACTTAGTGTATCTGCCCCAAAACATTTGTCACTTACACCATATTATAACTTCTACTTGTTAACCATGCTGTCTAAACAGCATTAGCAAAATGGCTGGAAAACCTGAAGTTGTACAAACACCGAGTCTGTGAATATTTTATTTCTATCAAGTTAAAAAGTATCATTGGTTATCCATGTGATTTTTAATGAAAAACTCAAAGTCTTAATAAAAGATTAATTAATCTTTTCTGACTTGTTTCCTGTGTTTTATTTTCAATGCTTCAGATGTACAACACTGGTTTTATATATAAGTAAACATAACATACCAAAATCCACAAGCTTGACTCCTCCTTCAGTGGTCAAAAGGATATTATTTCCCTTAATATCACGGTGGATAGTTTTGTTTTCATGCAAATGTTGAAGTCCCTGGAAGGTGAGATGTAAACATGAACTTTTTACTAACAGCACTGTTCTCTGTATTACATTTGCAGAAACAAAAAGTAGGAGAAAAGTATGAAAAAACTTAAGACAGATTTTATTTTAATCCAAAACTACAGAGATGTCATTCTTACTGGAAAAGCACTTGGCACACCATAAGGAATAGACATCTTTTAATTGTCCCACTTTATGTCAAACAGAATTTAAAGATAAAAGCAGAAAAAAGCACTATAAATGTACATTATATATTACATCTTTAGAGTATAAACTCAAAGAAAACTCCCAAGGCCTAAATTCCACTGCAGAAAGTAAAATTCTGTTTAAAAGAAAATGAAAAAAAACCCCACTTGATCCTGATTAGCAAAAGAAGAATTCCCTATAGCAGTGTTGGAATTCACTAGATCTGTTGATCATTTTGCTATTAAAATATTTTGGATCCAGATACAAGAAGTTGAACAGTATTTTGGGTATATTTCTGCTATTTCTCACAAGAAAAGTGATTTCGATGCAGAACTGTATTTACTAAGGAAAGGAATCAATGGTCAGAAATCAATTTTCATTCCCCTAATAATGAAAGAAACGGATTAATTGTTCTTTACTTTGCTTGTTCAGAAAGAACCATCTGAATTACACATTATCTTGATTTCATTAAACACTGCTATAAGATAGTGTGCTGTGTTAGTGAGGACATGATCTTCATTCATTCAAAGAAAAAATTATGAGCTGAATATTGACTGTCCTTTCACTGAAAGCTTATCTTACCATCAGAGCTTCACGTAAAATGTAAGCAATTATAAGTTCATTCATCCTTTCGCCTCTCTTCAGAAATCCTTTCACAAGATCAGTCACAGATCCACCATTGCACAGCTGCAAAACATGAGGAGAATACAGAAAGGAATTAAGAAGTGTTGGAGTCGCCACCTGGTTTCAGTTTTCAGTAGTTTTCGTATTTGTAGACAAATAAGCTCCTATTAAACTGGCAAACCACAAATTTGTCCTTATGTCTACCATTTATACGAACAACACACATAGCACTTTTGCCAATTTTTTCACTGCTTTCCGCATTTAATTCTTCTTGCCCAAACACAAGTACAGCTGTCTATCTCTTTGCTCTTCTATATACATGATTGCTTTTCACTGAAACAGAGGTAGCTTATAGTGCAATAAATTTGCTGTGAAGGCATGTTCTGTGGGGCATTCATCACGTGCAGATTATTACAGCATCAATTCTCAGCTACAAAAGCCACATACAACATGAACTGCATTTAAGGCACCAGAAGACAGGCAGTAGAGAAATTCCCTCAACAAGAGAATCTTCCAGGGGGAAAGCTGCTCTCTTTGCCAGGCCGCACTTAATTCCTAGTGGAGAAGGATGTTACACTCAAGGAACGGGCATCATGGGGGATGATGAAAGCACCGTGGAAAGAAAGGTCTCATCGCCCACTGAAACAAGGTGGCCCATAGGTGTAAGACTAATTATAGCCCTCGTAGCATCAACATGTTGTTCAAGATGCAGAGCCACAATCTACTCTGGACGATCCTTTCTCCTAAGGTCCAGTTAGACTCCTAACTGCAGTTTGACTCCTGCAAAGCCCTGTCCTGTCCTGTATATATGGGAAGCAGAGGTGTGGCCTTGCTCTCTAAAAGATTAGTGAGCACACATTACTAGCAGGTTAGTTTAGACCTGCAATATTTCGTATGTTCATTTTTATCACACTTTTTTCTGCAGGAAGAAGCAACAAGGTAGCTTTAGTGACTAAGTACATCCAGTTTGTGTGGAAAGGTTTTCGTAGCAGGGGGGCTGCGGGGGTGGCTTCTGTGAGAAGCTGCCAGAAGCTTCCCCTGTGTCTGA